AAAGTAATCTAACTCACTAGCAGCTAGTAGGGAAAATGTGGAAATGTTTTCGATTTTCTAAAGCACCTCACGCATTTCTGATGCCAATAGAATACATGATGCACAACATATTGTGTCAATATATGTATGTACTTACAAGTGAGTTCACGAAAATATATACATATGCTTATATAAATATATGTGTGGTTGAAAGTTGGCACTGCCTGGCCAGAAAGTCTAAATCTAAATATAAAATGCAAATAGCCTTCACCCAATATAACTAAAAACAATAAATCTGAGAAGACCGAGTCCAACTTAAAAGCCATTTATTCTATTTTTGTCAACATATTAATGACCGAACGCTAACATTTATTTATTTTTCTTTATTTTTTTCGAAACTACAAAACCCGAACTATAAAAACCTGTGCAGAGCAAAGCGCTGCAAAAAACATTTATTAATATATTAAATAATATTATTATATAGATAGCATTGCTGAATTGAATGGTGCTATAATATGAATAAAGCAAATGTGCATTCATTTGGATACACTTGTACTCCAAAAAATTTTTATATTTAATAAGTAGTTTAACATATATTCAAAAGTTTCTACAATTTTCTAAGTAAATGCTTCAATTAAAAAAAAAAACTTATTTTTATTTCCGGCAGTGCTCTCTGTTGTCGGAATAAAATATTTATATAGTTTTAGATTTAGACTTTGTTGGCTAGTGTATAAAGCTAAGCCCACTTGTTTGCAGATGGAAATTTCAGGTGCACGAAACGCATATTTCTTTACACCCTCCGCCCACCTGCCACGTTCAGAACTTTCACGATTTGAAGTGCCATCAACGTCGTCGTCACAGGTACTTGGCATGTGCCGGGAGTCTGGTTGAAATATCCTTTGATATTCAATGCGAAGTATCGTGATAGAGCCGCTGACTATTTGCTATTCTGGTTTTTTTTTTGCTGTTTTTTTTGGAGGGAGAGGGGGAGGGGGAGGAGGGCCATGACTAATCGACGGACGTCCACACGTATTCGTACATATTCGAATATCTGTTTATCATGAGCGCTGCACGAAACGATGAAAAGTGCATGTGGAAACGCAGCTTTCCTTAATTAAAAGCTGTTTTCGCTTAATATTGACCGCAACCTGTGCGGTTGTCGTCTCTTTCGTCATACGACGTCCTTGCCGCGGTCAGCGCCATTTCCGCTTCAGGCTTGGGCAAGATTGATTCCTCGTTTGACAGATTACTACTGTAAATACACACATCGAATATGGTCAAGTAAGTGTACATATGTGTCGTGTGTTTGCCTGTTGTGCCTTCATTTTTGTGGTGGATCTGCGATTCAGAAATATGTATGTGGCTTTTACACTCGCCCCAGCTATAAACTTTAAATAAAGTTAAAACACGACGTTGTGGCAGGAGGCCCATTGACCGTAACTTGGCGTTGAACTGAACTATCTGCATTTATATTGTGCAGGGAGTCAATATAAAATATACAAGTATGTAAGCCTTGCTAGGGAAATTACACACAAAAGTGCAGCAAAGTCCATATTTTATTAAAAAAGAATTGGCAAATAGTTGTTATTTTTCAAATTAATAAAAGGACCTCTTCTTAAAAGTCTTAAATTTGCTTGGCATTAATAGAATGTAAATTATTCAGGGCTCTTTAGCTATCTTCGTCTTCTTCTGTGAGTCTCTTACATAATCAACAACAATTTATACAAAGCGCAAACTTGATCGCACTATATGTGGTTTTAAAAGGTTTTCTTTTGTGAATAATTTAAATTTTTCAACAGCGATCTCAACACATGCAGTATAATTCAACTAAGGTCGATGCATAGTCGTAGGAGTTCGAACTGCAATTAAGATTGAATGATAAGTCGATCATACCTTAATATTTTATAAAGATCGAAAGTAACAGAAAGAGAAAGAAAGATAAGGAACCTAAATATGAGTATGGTTAAAACAATCATCATCAATAGACCAGCGATATTTTATGCAGTTCCAAACACGGTTGCTCCTTTGGTTTTAATTGAACTTCTTGTATTAAATTATTTGCTATTTTAATTAATTGACTCTTCAATACTAGTGCATACAAGCTTGGATTTCAATAAAATGCAGAAGGAATAATATCACGTGGTACGTGTTTTCAGAGCTCAGTCGTTTTCAATGGTTCTTGTTCTTGCAAATATTACTCATCCGTACCGTGTGACAGATCGCTAGCCGGTCACTTCTATTAGATGATTAGAACGCTACAAGTTTTTAATTGCAGTCATGTGTTGTGCTTGTTGACTAACCGGGTCAGCCGCTTTGTCTCTCGCTCTCTTAAATATGTTTGTCTGTATGTACATATGTATATGTAATCGTGGCAGTAAGTAGACATAAATGCCGTTCTGGCTAATTTACTTAATTGGTTGGAGCACGGGAACAAGTGCACAAATCCATTTAGCATAGAGGAAAATTATATGGGATATTTTTGTCAAATCCATGCAATTTAAAATGAAAGCTTAAGTCCATTGATTGGCCATCGACTGCAAGCCATTTTGTGGGTCAATCCAAATAATTTACTCGCTGACAGTTGGTTAATTATTTATTTATTTACGAGTACTGCCAAAAAAAAAAAATAATAATAATAAAAAAACCAAGTAAATGTAAAATCGCAAATAATTTATTCATTTATAAATTTTTATTTTATTCATTATAATTTCTTTTGACAGAGACAAGCTTAATAAAAAGCAACCAGCGCTCATGCCATGCCGCGAAATTGTTGGGTCGGCCGAGCGACGACGACAGTACGCTCATGCATGTAAATGTATTGCACACTTACATATCACACACACGCACTTTCACACACACACACACACATGCACACCCTACACACTTACATATGCAGACATGCATAATTGAACAATTGCACGTGTGAAGTCGCCAACAACTGACGCCACTAAAGTCATCAACGGCTGCAGAGACCGAGCCAACAGCCCTCACTGCCCCCGCCACCAACAACACCTGTCAGCCAACCAGCGTGTCTGTCAATCTGTCTCTTTGTCTGCCCGTCTGCCCGTCTGCCCGTCTGTGCGGCAGTATGTGGGCGGCTTTCCCGACACGGCCACTTAAAGCTCTTTCGCGCACACCCACACACACACACATATACAATACACATATTGACAGGAGTGTGGAGCCTGGGCGAGCACATTTTGTGATCCCATCAGGCGAATTGTTGTTATTACTGCTACAGATTTATGATACAACACATAAAAGGCATGCATTTATATTTGTGTACATACTTGTACATACAGCATACATTTATTTGCATTCAATTATACGAAATATAATTATTTGTATACTGCATTTGTCCAAAAACTCCGCAAAAAATCCAGTCAAATGTAATGCAATTTGTCCCGCAGACGCGTCTCTGCACACACGCACAGAAAGTGTAGTCCGGAAAAATATAGTGTGTACTTGTAGTCTGGCGATCCCCACTTGCTGTCTTGCCCTTTTGTTGTTTTGGAAGGAAGTTCACAAAGAACTGCTTTAGACGCTTTGATCCTTAAATCGGTAATTTTCTAGCACGATGAAGGTTAAGTTTTCTAGGCATCCGAAGCCATATTACAACACTATTGGCTGTTCAAATAGTAGAATCCAGTAATGAAAAATACTATAACTGGCAGCGTTTTATAATCCATAATCTATATAAATAAAAGTCGACGAAAAGACGAAATTATAGCTGGATATTATTTGAAAATAGAGAACAAAAATTCAATTGTTGTTGTTGTTGTATCCCTGAAGGATAAGGATTTATTGAAGTCGAATTTTTAAATTAAAAGGACGGAAGGAAAATATTTTTAGATCACTATCATCAAGCATTTATATCAAATATTTTCGACATAAATATATTGTATTTATTTTTTTGAATTTATTTCGACACAAACTTTTATACTCAGCTATGCAAAATTATGGTACGATATAAGTTTTAAAATTTTTGGTTAAATTTTATAGTTTAGGCCGACCTTTACAACATTTTCGTAATCTCGTTTGGCTCTCTTAGGCAAAAAAAAAAAAATCAATAACATCAGAGTCTGTTCGGCGACCTCGAATAAATTTGGGACGACCATTGATTGCTCTGCAATCAGATTATTTGGCCTAGTATATTTATATGTAATATACATGCATACCTATACAGCTAAATATCATTTAGAAACAGCGGAATATTTACAGTTGAAAGATTTGAACAATTCAAGACCGCGACCGCAAATGAAAACACAACACATACCTTTCTTAATTAGCTTAAGTCATAAAAATCTACAACGGCCCATAAACAAAAACGACAAAAGGCGAACGCAAACAAAACGCGAATTGTGTAAACAAATTAAAATCGAAGCACTCTCGAATTAAACAACTAACAGAAAGCACTAAACACTTGCCGATTATGCAATCGCGGGCACATATGCTATAAACAGATACTCAGAACCACACGCAGCACACACACACGCGCACACACACACACTCACATATACAAATACACACACGCATACACTTGCTCGGAACCTGCTGCAATTTTGATTAAAGTGGTCGGTTGGCCGGGTGGCTGGACAGCCCAAGGGGAAAGGCGAGTCCATCGATGATTCACGCGACACACTCATCTCGTCAATGGCTAAGTATAGCCCCGTGTTGTCTGTCTGTCTCTCTGTATGTCTGTCTGTCTGTCTGTCTGTCTTTGCCATGTACGTATACTTTTGTATGTCATTGCCAAACACCTGTCCAACTAACTGTGCGTGCCAGTGGAATGGTTGGAAGGAGGGTGCGGAGAAAGCGATGCGTTCGGGTCTCGCTCGCGCCGCTGATTTTTTTTTTTGGCCATGTTCCAGCAAACGAATTAGACACAGCTGTAAAATTGAATAACTGACAAACTGAGTGCCTCCATTTGACGCAATAGTTGTAAATCATTTGCGTTTAATTTCATTAATGATGACAGTTTTGCATTCATCTCCTTCTACATCTACTCGTATACTCATCAGGCAAATCCATTGCTAAGCGAGGACAACTGCACTTTAATGAACAACAGCTGTCAGCCAGAAGGGACATTAACCAATCCGACTCCAGCGCCATCTCTTAACGGCACTCTGACCGGCATTTCGAGTCGTCCAGACACCACCAATGCCTTGAACACTGACAGGCAACAACGGCAGCACACCAGCAATAAAGTCATCGACGCGGGGAATGGCGAGGTGAACCAGCTGGAGGCAATCCTTGGGTAATTATTAAATGTCGAGTTCCAGTTATGCATGTGCATGTGTCTGGGAGCTGCTTTGGTAAATAAATGCTATATTATTTTTCACAAATAACATTCGAAATGTAAATCTAATTCGAAAATACTTTCAAGTTGTTTCCTATTTACACTAGAAATTCTTGAATTTTCAAATAAATAAGCATGCAATATCTCCTCATCTAAATATTTGAAATTCTTTAATTTTTCATTTAATAATGTCTAATAACGTCATTAGCATGTGTATTAGTATTGTTCAGTATTTTTATTTATTTATTTAATGATAGCTTTAAGTTAAAACTTGGATAGCTATAACGACCAGGACTTTAAGCTATTACAATCAATTGGGAAATCTTTATTTTCGCTCTTTTTTCTGGCCCTAAGCTGTTGACAAGTATCATAGAGTTTGAAAATGGAAATATGTTGAGCCTTTTGATCATCAATCTTAAATTGCGAAGATGATCTTCATTCATCAGCTTTAATTGGGAATGGAATTTTAATTAACATTTACTTATAAAAAAAAAAAATTGAAATGAAATCGAAAGACGTTCTTTCGTTACATTACCTTACAACACATTGCTCGAAATCTCATTCCAGATTTAAATATTTAGTTTAACGTATACATATTTTTGTAAGTTGTTATATTGAATATGAACAGTAGTTAGACTAATCGAATACCTGCTGCCATTATCGATACGTAGAGCAACTTTATGAACATCTTGGGCATTGAGAGACAACGAATAGTTTATGGTGAGGCAGAGCATAGAAGAGAGAAGACGTAACGCGATTTTATTATTTGTTAGAGAGTGAAACAATTGCTTTTTTTAAGTGTATTGAACATTAAATCGAATTAATTCATAAATAGACAGTATTGCCATTGGAGCTATAAGAGTTTTTACAAAAATCAGCTTGAAGGGCATGCACAAATATACAGCCAAAACAATTGACAACAACAAGATTCGCCCCAGGCATTAATATGAGCTTCAATCAGAATCTGTGCAGTTCTGTACCGTCGCTTAGCAGCGATGACGCGGTTATTGAAAAACTGACTCTGCTGGAAGTCCTGCACCGACAACCGCAGCTGACATCATCCTGTGAGACTTTGTGCGCCAGAGAGCATGAACAAGACCAGGTCGAGAGAAATAGTGTTGGCGATAGAGGAGCATTGCTTGCTGCTTTACGGCTGAAGGCAGCCACAACACTATGCAACATTCAAGAAATCCTGCACACTGTTTCGCCGTTTGCGGGCGCCTAAAATCAGGATGCAGGCGAGTGGATAGACGGTTTTGAGAGAATCTGTAATGCAGCGGAAAAGGCTGATGGTTTTAAATTGCACTGCATTCGCCTGCTAATGGAACCCAATTCAGTGGCCGAACTGTTTCTCAGCGTGGACTACGGGGAGTTTAGAAACTATTTTTTTTTAATTTCGGTATTATCTATTATATTTCCTACGTCATAATGCTGATGAAAAAAAAACTGTGTTTACACCTGAAGAAGCTTCTGTTATTGAATACTATCATGCTCCAGATGCAACAAATATTGGAGATATCGAAGAAGCTGAAACCGTTCAACTGGCCATCGAAGGGTTACGTGAGAGCTTTCCCATCATTTCTATACTACATGCGGCCAAAAATCCATTTCGAACTGTTCTCAGACGGGCTTCAAAGACAGAAGCCCAGAATAAGGACCCTTATTACAACAGTATTGCAACACCTACTGGTTACTCTTCTTCCGGAACTGCACCAGAAGCTCAGATAAGATTGACTCGAAGATCTATTATATTACACTAAGAAGAATTCTAAAGCCTATTGGTTTTAATATCTTCAATAATTTCAATTAGATAACATAACTATGCAAAAACAAGAAAGGAATGCTAAAGTCGAGCAGGCTCAACTCTTAAATACCCTGTACCACCCCACAAAAAAGTAATTTAATTAATTAATTAATTAAATTAAATTAATTAACTAAATTAATTTAATTAATTAACTAAATATTAACTAATTAAATATAAAATATTCCATGCATGCATACATACATTTACATTTACATCAGAATCGTGCCTTATGCGTGTTTGTGTACTTGTACATATGTATGTATGTGTGCATTGGGCCTGGTTATATGGCTATAACTTTCTTTCCGATCATTTTATCATAATGAAACTGGTATACGGATATATAATTACTAACCTAATGTGACTACCAAATTTTAGCTCAAAATTCCAAGAATTACGGGAGTTATAGAAAATCAGTAATAGGGGGGGAGTGGAGGGGCGGATCAGAAAAAATTAACAAACTCGTCCTTTCTCGGTCTCAGGAGAATCTGTATACCAAGTTTGGTTATTCTAGCTCTTATACTTTCGGAGATCCTTGCGTTCATACAGACAGACAGACAGACGGACAGACAGACGGACATGGCTATATCGACTCGGCTTGTCATGCTGATCAAGAATATATATACTTTGTGGGGTCTACCAAGCCTCCTTCTGTGTGTTCCATGTGCACTCGCACAAAACTAATATACCCTTGTACCCTTTGGGTACAGGGTATAACAATAAATCTTCGTATCGTATCTTGGCATCAATACCTATTTGTATATATACTCGTATATTCGCTTAAACTTTAACGTATTAGATCGAATTCGTTTGTCAGAAATATGTTCAAAAAGAGATTGAAAGAAAAATTTATTTTTTATTTAAGAAACTTTAATCAAAGTAGAGAGATGTATGAAACAATTCTAATAAACTCAAGAACGTTTAAGCCCGTAAAAAATAATGAATACAAATTCAAATAGGTTTCAAAAATGATTAGAATTTATTATTTTTGATTAAACCGCAAAAAGTACACAAAGCACATGGCGCAAGATTTTTAGTCAAGCTATAGTCTTAATGGCCAATTCGTATTTAGTTGACTTACCAGTTTTATTTGATGGATCCAGATATCACTTTAAGCCTAAAAGCACTTTTTTCTAAACATAATATACAGCTACTATTTTTTTAAATTTTTGTGTATGGTTTTTTTTCTATTATGCTCAAAACTTGGATCGATATTGAAGTTAGTGTATTGATATTCCAGTTGATTGTTGTTCGTGAACAATTTTGTGAATTGAAAATGCATTTTCTTGAATATTATCCGAGAGATATTCAAAGTATGTATGTTAGAGAACATGAGTTCAGTTTTGTGTAATTAGCAGCATTTTAATTGATCGTTAAAAGTTGCATGTGCGGCCATAAAACTGAGCCGACGAAGTGAATTTGCACTTTTGATCGATTTAATTAAATTTTTATTTATAAAGCATTCTCAAATTAGAGTAGAGTAGGAAACTGCATGCATTTATAGTAGTATTTGTTGGCCCCTAACCTAATATTTATGTATATTTCATTTGTGCCATTTAATTCATGCGCCCCACACACCGCCCTGCCTGCCTGCCTACCATACATCACAAACCCAATGAAAATCATCGCAATCAACATCAATTCGAATGCCAAATGCAAAGCAATGGATTTGCATTAACTGGCCCACTAAACGTGGAAATTCTTTCGCAGCAAGTAGCAGCAACGAAAGCAACAGTAGCAAAAACAGATGCCCCTGGCCAAGAGGAGCATCAGCAGGAGCCGCACTTTCAGTTCACCACACCGACATCCACATTTCGACGCAAAAAGCAACAGCAAGTACAGCAGGAGCTAGAAAAATCGGCAAAAGCATTAGAGACCTCACAGCCAACACCAACGCCAACGGCAAAGTCAACGGTTACGCCACCACCGCCGCCCCCACCGACGTCACCATGGTCGACACCGGGTCAAAGCAGTAATGCAAAGTTGCAACAGCAGGAACAGCAGCAGCGCCAGCAGCGGCACGCAACGATGCTAGCCGTGGGGCAAGGAGAAAGCGGAACCTTTGGCGCAACTGTACGCACTCTGCCGGCAATCTCAAGGCAGCAGCAGCAGCAACAGCAGCAACAGCAGAAACAACAACAACAACACCACCACCACCAACATCCACAGTATCAGCAAAAACAGCGTAACTCAACGGGCACGACCCCCAAACAGCAACGAAATCCGAAGACCAACAACAAAATGGGCCTAATAGCGGCCAGCAACAACAATGGCGGTAACGCATCCAGCGAAGCACCCATCACAGCAACAGCAGCAGCAGCAGCAGCAACAACAACAGCAACGGCGACGACAACGGCAGGGTTGACAGCGACAGCTACAACAACAACGACCGACAGACGCAGCCGCGGTGGCGTCGGCAGCGGAGGCGGCGGCGGAGGCGGCGGCGGAGGCGGCGGCGGAGGCGGCATGGGGGGATTCGTCGATGGAATCGAAACATATTTGGGCCTCATCGGCTGGCGCAAGAAATGCCTCTACACCCTGTTACTCCTCCTAATGCTCCTGATCATCACAAATCTGGCACTGACGCTCTGGATAATCAAGGTTATGGAGTTCTCCACGGTAGGTGGCCCCTGAACCTGTGTAGCCATACACTACAGCACATTGTGCCTTTGCCATTGTTGTTCCAATTATTGTTGCAGGATGGAATGGGCCAGCTGAAGATTGTGCCCGGTGGCATACAATTGTCCGGTCAGGCGATAATCATGGATATGCTACGCGCATCCACCATCCGTTCAAGGCATGGCCAGCCCATAGCAATAGGTGAGTATCAACGGCACGAATCAGTCCAACTCCGCAGAATCCTTGCACAGTGGGATGTGCTGATAGAAAACTCAAAAAAAAACGTCTTAATACTTGATCGTTCCTATACAATGCTATGGTTCAATTTTCTTTATATCCAACTATATATTGTGACATTATTAAACAACCAGCACATATTGTGGCTCAGATTGTTTGAAAGTCGACCCCTGGTTCCTATGCCAGGTATGGGATACAGTAATCCGATTTAGTTTATACTCAGGTATACAGATAAATGCAGCATTACTTAAAACAATCATATATTTTATATTTATATATTAGAACAAGAAAGGAATGCTAAAGTCGAGCAGACTCAACTCTTAAATACCCTGTACCACCCCACAAAAAAGAAATTAAATTAATTAAATTAATTAACTAAATTAATTTAATTAACTAAATTAAATATATATATATTCCATACATGCATACATACATTTACATTTACATCAGAATCGTACCTATGCGTGTTTGTGTACTTGTACATATGTATGTATGTGTGTGTGCATTGGGCCTGGTTATATGGCTATAACTTTCTTTCCGATCATTGTATCATAATGAAACTTGGTATACGGATATATAATCACTAACCTAATGTGACTACCATTTAGTTCAAAATTCCAAGAATTACGGGAGTTATAGAAAATCGTTAATAGGGGGAGTGGGGGGGGGGGGGTGGATCAGAAAAATGAACAAACTCGTCCTTTCTCGGTCTCAGGAGGATCTGTATACCAAGTTTGGTTATTCTAGCTCTTATACTTTCGGAGATCCTTGCGTTCATACAGACAGACAGACAGACAGACGGACAGACGGACATGGCTATATCGACTCGGCTTGTCATGCTGATCAAGAATATATATACTTTGTGGGGTCTACCAAGCCTCCTTCTGTGTGTTCCCTTTGGGTACAGGGTATAAAAATGGATTATTGCGTAATCGACAAAGATATAGCGCTTCGACCCCGCCGATTTTGACAAATCATCTGCTTATAGGAAAAGTCTAACATTTGAGCACGATAGCGTTGAAGCTAAAAGGATAGTGTTTTTTATTTCATACTATTCGTGCATATTATTCTTTATTCTTTGGTTTGCGAAAGAAATTCTCTCTTCCCACAAAAAAAAAAAACTAAAGTCGTTTGTTTGCAAATGGAACAAATAGAGAGCACTTCTGTCTAATTCTTAATAAAACCAATAAGTAGCCTGTTTCCATTGCTAGCTTCCACTTTAAAGCAAACTGCAGCTTTTCAACGAAACTTTGAAATTTGTCCACTTGTGTACTATGTTTGTGCCACTGTGCATGGCTAATGTGGTAAGTGACATGCTTAGGAGCGTGATGGCGGGCACTGTGGCCAGGCCAGGCCAGGCCAGGCCAGCTTGTTCGTGCCATTAATATTCATTTTGCATCAATTTCACTTTTCACATCATCGCTTCATTTGGTCAGTTCAATTGATGGGTGGATGGGTGGTCGAATGGATGTGTGGGACCGGTTGTCTTGAATGGATCTCAATTGTCATTGTCGCTTTTGTCAGCTGGCAGCTGGCAACTGGAAGCCGTCGGGCGTCGGCGTCGGCCGTCCATTGACCATGCGGTTGACCTTCGCGCATGGTTGACTTGTGCTTCAAAGTCATGCCAGCAGTCGGAAGGGAGGCGTCCTTCGGAATTGTGGTCGCTCTGTTTTTCTTAGCCACTGGCATGTTTGTGCATGTTTAATGAAGTTCGTTCAGGTGCAGCGTGCAAGGCAGTGGCTTTTCAGTGCATCTTTAAAGGCCGACAACGACCAGACAGCCAGCCAGCCAGCCAGCCAGCCAAGTAGCAAGAAAGTTTACAGTATCCTGCATGTGTCTCTGTGCTTGCACTCGAGCCTGTGTCCATGCCTACGCATGCCAGTGGCCGTGCAGGACAAATGTGTGCCGTTGGCAGGCGTGCCATAAATCAGCAGATATACGTACATAGATAGGCAGGCGCACAGACACACGCATACACATTGACCAAGTATGGGAAAGTGATGGTTATGGGTATAGGAAGGGGGACGGCGACTGCTAAGACGCTGAGCGGTCACACATGCTCGTGAACTTGTGAGTAGCGGCGACAAGTGAACAAGGTGCAAGGTGGAGATTTTGCCGGTGGGTGGCGGCTGCGCCAGTGACGAAGCATAAGATGCGCAATTACAGATAAAGCGCCCGAAACCGTTGCCCGAGCAGAGAAGACAGATGGGATTTTCAAATGACAGGCGTGTGTGGGTAAATGCTATCAAAAGGCATTTCCCCCAGCGATAAGTAACAGCTATGGAACGTCTCGGAAGTCCATGTGTGAGAGTATACAAATGTGTGTGTGTGTGTGTGTGTGTGTGTGTGGGCAGATCTGTGTATGTGTGTGTGCGTGTGCCGGTGCGGCAGGTAGATGGCGCCGCTGTCTGATAACTACGACAATATGTGGCATCGTGGCCATGGCACCACAGTCAGAAATTTGATTTCCGTTGCAGCTATCGGGGCGCCCAGATCTTTCAAAACTACCGCTAATTTTGTGCCTCTGTGTATGTGCGTGTGTGTGTGTGTGTGTGTGTGTGTGTGTGCACTCCATCATTATCAGCCACCGCATATTAATGTTGCAATAATTCTTTACACTGCTCTTATTTGTCTTACAAACGTTTTGTGTGTTTCACCGCTCTGCTCTGCTTCTATTTTCCTTCTTGTTTTGGCCGCCATCGTCGCCGTCGTCGTCATCGCCTCCATTGCCAACACCAACAGAATCATCACGTAATTTTTCAATCAGTACACGTGACCCGAATGGTATGCTCGAGAATCATTTATTCCTGGGACACGATAAGCTCGAATGCCTGTCGTCGGGATTTCGCATCAACGATACAAACGGACGAAATTTATTTTCCGTAAATCGAAATGAAGTCACAATCGGTGCGCACGCGTTGCGCATTGACGGCGAGGGAGGTGCCATCTTTCGGGAATCCATACAGACGCCACACGTACGCGCCGAACCAGGACGAGAGCTCAGGTAAGTTACAGATGACTAGGCTAGACTAGACTAGCAACTGAATATGAAAGCCAAAGGCACTGCTCTTAGGATAAGCAAAATATTTCCTTCATTATTTAAACCGAATTCGTACCAGATTTCTTCAAATCTGGAAATAATTAATATTTGAAATATTAAGCCCTCTTGCGACTTATTGTCTTTCTCCTATTTTATTGTACTTTAAATCGTACTTAAGTCTCGAACGGAAGCCAGGTCTTCCCATAACTAAATAATCACGACTTGAAATCTTTGACTTGATCCTTTTGGTTTGTTTTTTTTATACCCTGTACATGAAATGCACAAGAGTATATTGGGTTTGTGCGAAATAAAAAATTGAACATTAGAAGGGGGCGTGGCAGACCCTTCTATGAACACCTACAAGTACATCTCACAGACTTTACGAGCTAGAGACACAAAATTACTACAAGTTTGACCAATGTGGGTTCAGTCGTATCAGAAATGCAGGCGTTTATACGGACAGACGAACGGGCGGACGGAACTTTGCACAAATCTGATAACATAAACTTTCCCTGTGAATTGGCAAACGTTATAAATAAAGAAATCGACGACTTCAAACTAAATAATAATCGTAAAATTCTTTACAATAGTAGTCTTTAATTTTATCAGAATTTTGATCAGTTCTGTCCAAGTGTATTTATTTAAACACCTATTTCTGGGGGAAAAAAAGGTTAGCTGACCTTACTTAATTGAAATAACAATTGTAAGGTTTTCATCACCCGGGATGCTTAGATTGCTCCCCATTGGATGATTTTTAAAAGAAATCGCGCCCTAATAGATTATAGAATTTTTCGACTTTCTACCCTTAGTAGGTGCTTGGGTATTCTAGTCTCCAGTTTTTATGGTATTTACTGGTTCGCTGATTGAAATATGTAGATGTGCAGATAAACTGCATATATGAATTTTATATTGGCCACCCCCCGGAAGCCTCTGCGACTGAAAACGGCTCAGATTGTCGACTAGTGGCAGTGCCAATTAAAGTAAATGAAACTGAAACCCAAACTGTTGCTGCCGTTCGCAACAAAATTGCACATACAAGTAGTGTTGAAATTCAACAACTGTAATAAATTTCATAGAATTCATAGCCATCAGCTGTGGTAGCAGGCAGGATCAGAGCAACAAAAACAACCACAACAACAACAACAGCAATAGCACCGGGCTGCGAAAAATGAAGGAATCTGAGGAATAAAAAATTAAAAACAAACACTCGCGTTTCTACCCAACACACTTCACTATATATTTGTGTGTGTGTGTGTGTGTGTGTGGCTGTCTGTGTGTGTGTGTGAATGTCACCTTTGCGGCATCGGCGTCGTTGACAACAACAAAAGCGTGAGGCTGCATCACTACCAGAAGGACTGCCAGGACGTGTTAGTGGCGCGAGCCACTGGTGAGGCAAAGGTGTTGGTTGTGCGGCTTGTCGAGAAGTAAAAATATTTATACGCGGCCCACATGTACGAATGTATAAACATTTGTGCCGGCGAAGCAACGGCAGAGCCAGCAAGTGAATTGAAAAGCGCTTTAGGGCTGCATTTCCTCCCTCCTCCCTCCACCCCCACCTCCACCACCAGCCTTTGCCGGCTTTTTCCAACGCACTCCTTGCTCACTGAATAAATCGGTGGATCGACCAGTCGGTGGCTCTACTCTCATATGTACATACATATGTATTATACAAATATAAGTGTATCTGTGTGTGTGTGTGCCATTAACAGCGTCGGCGGCTTGTAATAACATTTTCATTGACAAATTTGTTGATGGCCGGTTTGTTGGTTCATGAAAATTAACAAATTGACTGACAGCCAACAGATAGCATTCGACGACTGAGCGAACAAACGAAGCCACACGTTGCAGAAATTCAAATTGAAATGTTTATAAATGGTGCAGCCTATCGGATTGCAAATTTTGCGACACAAATAGCCCATAATTTAAAAATATTCCTGCATTTTTGCGATACCACTTTAAGTTCAATACAAGAAACAATCAAAGACTGCCATACTTTATTTCATAATTAATGCAAACTGAACCATTGGGATAAAATCGACCCACCATATTGCTCAAGAATACACATACTATAAGTTCAATACAATACAAGTCTCTGCGGAATGAGTCTTTAGAACCGGTTTGTCTTAAAAGGCAGACAAAAATTCATCGTGGTAATATGAACAGATAAAGCTAAAAATCATTAAAGTCGCCTATTTCGGAACTACAAAATCTAATAAAAGCATTTCAATAAAACTTCTAGGGACGGGACTAAAAGACTAGATTGTCCTTTATTTTTTAGCAAGTTAATGGAGCGCTAGTTCCATTCAAATAATTCAAATTGTTGATACAAAATTTAATATTTATTTAGAAATGCATAACTCACATTTATTTACGTCCTTAATTCTTCATTGTCTGAAATACGGCAAAAAAAGTATAGTAAGTAGTATATTTTTGCAAAATGAGGTCAACCCGTTGATCACTAAATAAATAGAAGTTCATCGTTCAATCTTATCCCAATAAGATTTAAGGAAATATTTTGCGATTCAGTGCCGTTTTTGTTTTAAAACTTGTTTGAAATATTTTAGAGAAATTTTGAGCATTGTCAATATTTAGTTCCACCTCTAAATGGTGGACATTATTATTAGAGAATAAATGCTTTTGGGATGGTCAGCGACTGCCTTATATCTAAATAATTGGGCAGTATTTCATTTTTGAAACTATACAAGTTCACTTTACTGTATCAATTACAGGCTGGAGTCGCCGACACGTCAGTTGGAGCTTACTGCGGCCAAGGATATAAACCTGCAGTCTCGAGCCGGTGGCATTGAACTGTTGGCACTGGAGGATGTAAAACTTCGCGCTCTCGAAGGCAGCGTAAGTAGTAAGCTATTGAAAATAGACACCTTTCCAGATGCTATAAATAATGCTTTCAATTTTGTAATATAAAGTGTTTTGGTAGTCAGGCATCTCCCATTAAGTTTACTTGAAATTTATATTCGTAATAGAGCTCACAAAACGAAAAAGGCACTAGTTTTTTCGAATTTGTCGAATTTGTTTATGAATTCTGTTAGTATTGTTGCTAAAAGATTTGGGAGTTACAAATTTTTCTTCTACTTAATGGCATCAGAAATATGTAAAATCGATAGCTTAAAAAATTGTTATCAAGATTACCAAAGAAAGGATATAGCATTCCATTCACTTGGCAGACCACACAAGGCGTACATATTCTTCATCAGTATGACAGGACGAGTCGTTATAGCTTCGTCCCTTTAACCGTCCATCTAGGAAAGTATAAGAGCTAGAACAAGCCACCTTTTCCTGATGCATCCCCATCGCTGTTCGTGATTTTACCGAAACTCCGTGAATTGTCCATTTGTGCAATCCAGAGTTGAGCCAAAACAGCAGCAACAACAACAACAATTGCTGCCAGGGCATGAGCAGGGGACTTAATTTATTTTTAGTATTATTTTTATTTAACGATTATCAGCGCCAGAATGCCATGTCTATTGTTATTTAAGCGGATACAAATGACAAGAACATGACCTGATTAAATATTGAGTGTGCTGGCTAATACAGTATGTTTAAACATTTCAATATTTACAACCTGTACGTAAATGTGGATTTATGTGCAATACATGTATGTTTATAAAACTTGTAAGTGCAGACGTTATTGCTATTAGGATTATGTTACATGTAGTTGGATGACTTTAATGAATATTGAAGGGGTATATGATGAGCTATTTTCGATTCCTTTGGGCGGAAGTCAGCCTGTTTACATGTGTGCCTAGTCTGTTGGGGTAGCGATCAATCTCTTCCCAGTGGCTACATACACGATAAACTAAAGCGACTATACCGTACATGATCCTTAGAGTAAAAATAGCGTTGATATCATATTTCCATCAGGCAGCCACGACCTGCTTGTAAATGAGGCGTTTGTCCTCCCAATGGAATTTCAATTCGAGAATTATAGATGGGTGCATCAGGAAAAACACACAGAAACTTGTCCTTTCTAGGTTGTGTAAGAATCCTAGCTTTTGCACTTTCGAAAATTAATGCATTCATACAGACGGATAAATTAACGGATCAAGATTCTTTATAACTTTACCTATTGAGTTCAGGGTCTGAAAAATGGATGAATTCTTCTAAAAGTTAAATGCAAAAGATTACATAGAAGAAGAAATTTTGCTTGAAATCCTTCATGATTTTTCAACAAAACTATTATACAAGTATTTGTAGACAGCACTATTTTAAAAAACTGTGCATATTTTGATGTGAAATGATTTGCTAAGTAGCGTTTCAAATACAAGTATGTATGTGCTACGTTTAATATCTCTAGCACTAAAGGTATTTAATTTTAGAAGCTCAGTCCTATCCGGAACACTTACCTACAGAATATATATCCTTGACATAAGATGTTCATTATAGTATAAGCGGAATCAATGCAAATGTCTTCTTCTCCCCTTTTGATGTTCATCTCCTTACACATATATTCCTTAACAGTTGCGCTTGGAGTCGTCGAAAATTTTAATGCCCAACCTGCGCACCGCCCAGCCGCCCATTATGGGCAGCGCCCAGAGTCGCGATCACCTGCATCGAGTATTCCAGTTGTGCGCCTGCTCCAATGGGAAACTGTTTTTGGCGGCCCCGCATTCGATATGCGCCGGAGACGACTCCACGGTTTGCAGATGATTGGGCTGGTAAGCCGATGTGGTTGATACATACAAGTGTATTCAAGATTGCCGCCGTCGTAGCTATAGTAGGTTTTGATTTATTTATGCATATCGATACCAGTATATCGATAAAGATATCTTATGGGTATACTCGTATATATTGTAGTACATGCCTACATACTCGTACATACTCGTGCATATAGAGGTGCAGTTGTTGTTGTTTATAGTTTATGTTGTAAATACTCGTACATACATATCGTATGCTTACAAATGCGAACACACATACACACTCGTATACTCGTGTGCATATCGAACACTCAATTATCCATACAAACATACATGCTACGAGTACATATGGAAATATTTATGCGAAATTTCAAATGGTTAGCACTGAAATGGAAGCAAATAGGAAAGTGCAGCCAGTAAAGTAAAAGCATGCAAATAAATAATTACGAAAATAATCTATGGGCGCAAATGAAAACACGTACACGATGCAGGCACACACAAACACATACACCGAACACCACAGTTGTTTCAACACACACACACACACACACACACACACACACACACACACACACACACACAGACAGAGAGGCCTAATAGTAATTAAGTAAATTACACACAAATACATCATTACAATTATCGCTAATGTTAATAAGTATGTGGTAGTACCTACAATACGAGTGAAGCATGTTGTTAGTTATAATGTGTGTGTGTGTGTGTGTTTTTTTTTTTAGCATAGCATATACATACATACTAGTCGAATTACAAGTATTTGAATTCGAATTAATGTATGGAGTGGGTTTGAACGCAACGAAGAGCGTTTTCAACTAGCCAATATTGTCATAAGCTAATTGTAATATAAATAGGCGATGTGTTGTCACATACACACACATACATACAAGTATGTATCTGGGCATATGGAACTACTCACAGATATCGAAGCCATCTATACACATACTATATACCCACATACAAGTACATACATACATATATGCTACCATCTACTCGTACTATAGACTACTGTATTTGAAAACAAAATCAAGAGCTTCTTAGACACTTGAATGTTGTGTAATAGAATAAAATAATAGGCAACAGCAACAAAGTTATGCCAATAATGTAATACTTACTTTTTAATAAACCAGAGAAAACAAAACATATGAACATGAGCTATTTATTAATCTAACCGCCAGCATGGCCGACACGCAGAAACGTAAGCTTAGGAAAAGATTTAAATATAATAAATCAAAACGGGGCTATTTATAAGCAATAATCACAATTATTTTATGTGTAGGTATACAAAATTGAGAATTTCCTTCTAAAGGTTAATTTTTTTACAATTAAAATTATAGTGTTAAATGGTCAAGTTATTTTTTTTATCACCTAGACAACAAAATGTTCTCCTCAAAAATAAAAAACCAGTTGATTGACAAGCCATCCAGATTATTTTTTTATTTGAGTGCTACAAATATTCAGTAAATCGTCTACGAATAGTTATTATTGGAAATCTGTATTGCAACACTATGTTTCATAAATAAACTTGATGACTAACTTCCAGCATTTGAACAAATGTTTTCCAACATCCCTGTAGGACTACTATATAGTGAAGCTACCCATAAGAAATATTGACCCAAATAAATGTTTCTTCATCATAATTATCCTCACCAAAATCTAAAGTTGTTCGAAATCGAAAAGCTTTGACAGGACAAGGCGTATGTTTGTTCTAATTTTCTAATACATATTTTGATTAAAAAATAAAATAAAACGCTAGCAAATATAAAAAAAATAAAATCACTGATTTTTTAAAAGATTATATGGAAACAACTTGCTATAGTCAACTGATTCTAATTCTGATTGATCCGCAAACCTAATGGCATTCAAAAGTTACAATTTTAAAACAATTCTTGGTTGGTCGGAAAGCGAACAAAACAAAAATGAGGTACTCGTTATTATTAAATTTGTGTTATATATTACTTGTATATTGAATTCAGAATTCTAAATAATGTTATTAGGAACAATTTTCGGAAACGCTTATACACCGTTGATTTAAACATGTTTTATGTTACCCTTGATGTTACATGAAGATCAGACTGTTGACAATGTTAAAAGGAAAACGCATAAGTATAAATATCTGGCATTCGAATAGAAAATGTAATGTACATAACGATATTCATATATGTATGTAAATGCCTATGTATAGCTTACATATAGTGTATATGTAAATTAAGCGGCAATCGCTAGCGAAGTCATTGCCAGAAATATAAGAATATGTATTAAATGGTTACAGTCAGCAACGGTTTATTCGACAAAAGAAAAACTTAAGTAAGTAAGCAAATAACCATAATAAGAAGACAATGAAAATATCATCAAATGAATGTTAAAAACAAATATACGTGCATATATAAAACCTATTACTATAACGGAGGCATAATTGAAGGAAACCCAAAATAAAACTGAAATCAAGCAAAGATGCTTCAAGCGAAGCCCCTCTAAAAGTTTTTTAAAATTATACATAGGTCGCCTAGAAAGGGCGCAGGATTTTTTTTTTTGGCAAGGCACAAAGGAAAATATAAAATAGTTAATATAGAAAGAATGAAGAAAAACCCTATGAAATATATTGTAATAAAACACAGTACTAACATAAATGCATAGGAAAAAGTAAAATATATACAAATTAGAAAAGAACAAAATAAATAACGTTGAGCATGCTTCTGGGTTGGTGCACGGCTTTTCTTTTTTTCTATCTGCCTGGCCAGGATTGGGAGGATTGTGCGCACAAAACGCTCAATGACCTCCGGCGGAGTCGGGACAAGCGGAGTGCGAACATGAACGCGAGCGCTCGTTGGTTAACGCCTTCTAGCACCACTTCAATAGAATTGAATGGCATTTGAAGTGCTTTGTGGGTGCGTCTAAGCGACGACAACGAAGGCAACGAGGACGATAACGACGAGGACACGGAAACGGACGAAGAGAAGCACAGCCTAGCGTCGTGACTGCCTCAGTCATCATCCTCGTGTGAAAAATATTTTGTGGGTGTTGCCGACGAGGACGAGGACGACGACGACGACTACAACAATTCCAACGACTTCTACGACCAGCCAGCCAGGACGAAACTTGCCGTCGGCGCCTCGTTCTAAGCACTCGTGCAAGCAAATTGAGTTATTTTGTGAGCCAAGTCAGTAAGGCCGTCGCCGTTGCGTTTGTTTTGAGTCGAAATCGGACAAAAAAGCTTCCCTCGAGCCGTTCGGCGTACACTGAGCTACGTCCTGTGTGTTCTCGTAATCTAAATGCCCGACAACAAACGTCTTGTGCATGTGGTCGGTCTCATTCAACAGCATTCAACGCACTCCCAGCTCTGTCTGCCCTCCCCAGCCCTACAAAAAACACTCATTATAAATTTAGACACGCTTCACAATTCCCCAAAGAAGACGCCACAATTAAAAGGCAACTTAAAAATGCATGATAACCGCCTGTCTACTCCAAACAGGTTTAGTCTGCCCCAACACACACACACACACACACTCACATGCCAGTTTGCATGTGTGTGTGTGTGTGTGTGTGTGTGTGTGTGTGAAGCTATGTAAGTACGTATAATGTCACTCCCTCTTGTTCCCAAGACCCATCTACTGAACGAATGCAATGAATGTGAGATGTTTACAGCGTATTTGTGAGACTGATGTGAAATATTTCACGGTATTATCGCAGAGATCCTTAAAGATATAATACAAGAGAGTTGGCAACACTGAAGAAATAAATCTTCAGTATCCTAATTGGCGGTATTATTATTATCGCTATCTACTGTATAATTATCTTCAATATTTTGTTTCATTCATTAATCTATTAGATACTCGTATGACGGCGTATTTAGCAGGGTTTGTATTCTGCCAATACGCTCAAGCTCTTCATTTTGTTAGAGAAACAATTCTATAGGACATTTAACCATAACTCTAGAGTACTAAAGTTTCTCTATACGGGGACTACTACTCTCATTTTGTTTGTCAGCGAACCATAGATGATGAAGAATCTGAAGAAGAATTTTACTTCGAGAGCATCAAACATTAATTTCTCGCTAATTTAAGGAATTAAGGATTTTTTTATCGTCTTGTAGAGAAGAAAAAAAGAAAAAAAAAACATCCACATATAAGAGTTATAATATTCCATTACAGGAACACATTCTACCAAATGTGCAGGGAGATGTCGTGCTGTCGAAACCAATTGGTGGACAATGTGGATATTTTAATTGTAACTTTAAAATATAACTTTTGTCAACAGCTACATACAAGTATGTCATTGAGGCTCACATGATAAGGCTTTCTAAGAGAAAACCCATTGAATTGGAAAAAATATGTTACTTACTTACTATTAAAGAGCTTCACAAGAAACTTAGAAAGCCTGAAAACGTGATTAGCCAACACTAATAGGCTCATAAAGAGTTCGTATCGGAAATGTAGTCACCGGAGCTAAAAATATTAAAACATCGAAGATAGTCGGTCAGCAGAATTAATTATCCCTTAAAAGATAAGTACAGCATATTCTGGCCTTAACAACTAATCAAAGGTGTACAAAATCACAAAATGGAATTACATGAAAAGTTTCTTTGGTTTTTATGTAATTATTAATATAATATTTTATTTAGGTTTTTGATACGCCCTTTCTTTTAGCGTAATGGAAAAGTATTTGAAATTTGATGATGGGAAGCAACATTCATGAGTCAATTATATATTTAAGGTTTCCTTTGATTGTTTTATAAAATTATTAAAAATATATAGACATATATATACAGTTATCTCCGATACTTTGATTCTTTAAATGCTGGATATGTGTGCTAAAAAATGTCTTTAATCAACGAGCAATATCAAATCTACACATGTCGACATAGACATAGAGTCTGTTCTATTCTTCGATTATAATTGCAATGAAGCATTTGAAATATACTTTTATAAGTCGAGTGGTTGGAAGTGCAAGTAAAAACTCAGTGTTCAAAAATCATTCAACAGTAAGATATCCAATATGACTAAATACGAAAACCAATTATGGACGAGAATTTGCAACTACTACTCTACTAACTATTCTCACTATTTCCCAAGGGAAACCCCTTGATGATTAAATAGTAACAAGTGCTGGAATCAAAAACGCTTAGATTTTTTTTCTTTAAGATCTTCAAATTTGTAATCAACACTTTTATCATTTACTATTAATCAGTCACCGATTAATACTAGAGGTTAGGGTGTTCCTTGAATCAACTACTAATTAAGGTATACAAAGCATATAATAAAGAACAACAAGAAAGCAAGAAATATCGATGGCACTTTGGGGTTTAGTTTTTACCTATTGACTTTAAATAGTCTTCGCACTGTTTCAGCATCCGGAAGCCATGTTATGGGAAAACATATGTAGAGTCGAATCGATGAAGACTTGTAGGTCTGGTCGTCCCTTTTAGCATCGAAAATTTGAAAACCGAAAGAGCTGGAGTCAATAAGCGTGGCTCAATATTTTATATTGCTGTCATACAAAGTACCAATGGAGCAAAGACCGTTTTGTTTATGAACATATTGTGAGCACATTTGGTGATTTAGTTTATAATAATATCTATTAAAATTATTCATTTCTTTGCTTCCGCAATTAATTGCATAAAAATGTCAGGTTCTGTTAAGTTTGTTGAAAAAATGTATCTTTTATTGAGATTTGCATTTCATTCGGTTTTTAAATTCAAGTTAGCCGACTGTCTCCATCAGATGATAAGAAAATACTTTCAATAGAAAACCTGTCAAGCCAATTATTCATTTCGCATATTCGTTCTTCGCAGAGCAGAGTTCTAGGATCGGTCCATTGACAAATCATTCTCAGGTCACGATGCACGTTTGCCTCGAAAACAAAACAGTGTGAAAAAAGCGTCGGTCTTTTAATTTGCTCTTGGCACACCGGGAACAAAAAATCAAAAAACAAAAGCAGACTGGCAGACTGGCAGATGAGGCTACGTCATAGGCACACGCACACACTCACGTGCAGGCACGTGCCAAGTTCCTGTTCGGGATATTGTCAGCCTGCCAATGGCAAACGCAGACAGAGGCATTTACTTTCACACACATACACATGCTTGTGCATATGTGTGCGATGGTGTCGTTGCACGTTATATTAAGTATTCCATTAATATTCTAAAAGACGCTTTTGTACTTTATTTCGCATCATTGGCGCAATTTTTGTTGTTCCTGCTGCCGCTGCCTGCTGTCGCTTTTTTGTCAGCCCGCACACACACACACACACACACACACACACACATCTAAAGGTGGTCTTTCTATGTCTGTGCTTTGCTTCAATTGCTAAACAAGCTGCCGTAGTTTTAACATAAAATGTTCTAATTACCATGCCAGGACACAAACACTTACACACACACACACACACACACACACACACACACACACACACACACATAATATATACCTGCAGCCCATATAGGAAATTGTTGTTGCCACCATAGCTGCTGCTCTTTTCACGCCATTTTAAAACACGCACCCACACATACTCGTAGCACTATACACACACTTCCATGGGCTCGTAGTAGTTTAAATTTCTATGCATAACTCAGTCGTAAGTGCCGTAACGTCTTAAAACTCGCCGCCATATGTGGGAGGGATCATAAATTTTTGAAGGCGCCATTGCCGCAGGCTGTGGAGCACCTTCGTCCTGAGCAACAGTTAGGCGACGGCGGCATTCCAAGTGCGTCTAAACTTGTGCCAAACTGTCGAATTAAGTATGCATGAAAGTAGCAGGGACATGGAGCCCAGGACACACACAAGACAAGGACCAGAGGTTGGAGAAGAGAGGACACAGGTTACACGTTACAGGTTACAGGACACATGTCGCTGGCTTTGTAGATAATGGGATTTGGTTTGAGCATGAAATCAAATTAATTGTTTCGTTTGTTTGCAAAAAGCCTACTACTATTGTATTGTTGTTGCAACAACGTGACGAAAAGGTTCCCACAAACACTCACACACACACACACACTTTAAGGACACATCTATGTACATCGCAGGAAAGGCGAACCTGAAGCGGATATAGTGGTGCGTGTGCGTGCTTGTGTGTGTGTTTGGCATTTAAGTAGGCAATTAGGCAAAACTGTTTTATGCTGTCTTCGTTAACTGGCATGCTCCCAAGCTCGAATCACTCTTGCAGAGCTGCCATCTCGGATAGTTAGTCGCTGACTTCCCAAGTCATTTGCCTGTCATCGCAGCTCAACTCACTCTGCTCGACTAGGCTCTGCTCTGCTCTGCTCTACTCTTCTCTTTTGTCACCTCTCAGTCATTTGTGTGAAGTTCCAATGCACTTGCCAGCAAGTGAGACTAAGCTTTACTAAATATACTTGTATGTGCCACTAACAAGTCACCTCAGTTGTTTGCATTGTCGTTCAGTAATTTGATGGAATGATGTGTAACCGAAATGCATAGTTACTGGGAGATATAATATGCCTTGTATACCAACAACAATTAGTAATAATAGCAGTGGTAAAAAACTCAAAATTAAGCACTCAAGTGTTATGCATGACAATCAACTAATTCAATGGTAACTGAAGCATGGCATTAGTGGGATTCTTCCAATTATTTAGGTTTCAAAAAAATGTCGATTTGACCACTTTTTTGAGTTTCAACAAAAAATTGTTGCTCGGGGTTATGGGTAGAGTATTATTTTGGTAAACAAGCTCTCTTTGCTCAGCAGCAGGCTACGCTTCCACATCACTGCGAGAAACTGCCTAATCATTCCTTTTTTTCTCAATCCGTTAGCGAATTATAGATCTTAGCACAGTTTGGATCCAGACATTGACTTTTTCTTCACTGTTTTAGATCAAATTACAGAACTCAAGGAACTATTATCCTTATCGAAAATAAAAGCTCTTAAAACTAAATTCGTCATAGAAAACAGGGTGGGGTCTTGGGTGTTAAAAGCAGGAATGGGTTATATGTGGGGTTTTATTTATAACAATACAATGACCATAAAATGTAATGGTGTAAATCAGCGGTGGGCAGGAAATTTTAAATCGGGGGTCATTCAGCAACTACAACAACAAAAATCAGAGTCATGGGTAGGTCCTGCTGAAAATCGAGCATCATTCTGTTTGGCGTCCCGATTAAGGTAGTTTAATATCATAATATCAATTATAATTTAAAAATGCACTTCTCCCTACTCGACAGGATCGTTATTTTCTCTCTTTTTCCGTTCGTCTTCTGGAATGTTGTCGAGGGCGTCATTTGGAAGGAACAACACGTATTCCCACACATAGTATATCGAAAAGAACAACAACAGCAAAATAATAACAGATATGCAGTTTGAATGTACAATCGTAAAATTAGAAAAATGTAAATTAATCAAAAAGCGTCTCCAAGCTCTCATGACAGCACTACTATTATACGATTTCTTTATGTAATTAATGCCAGCCTTTGTGCAACATGTTTAAATAACTCTCCAATAAGGACAGGCATTTTTGTTATGAAAAAGTTGGTCGTTTTTAATAGCTATACAAAGCAGACGATTTTCCACCAAATCGTTATATTGAAGACATAAACAATTATTTTAAGAGCACATATCAATGATTATTATTGCCAATGAATTAATATAAATAGCCATAATTTAGTTTTTATTTGATTATTTCTAACTGTAATACAAAAAGTCCTTTCATATTAATATCAAAGTATTCCTTGGCTCTGGGTCAAAGACTTACCGTCATCGCCCAATGTGTAATCTGGGGGATGAAATGCCGGTGGAATTGAGAACAATAAAAACAATTAAAAATGAAGCAACAAAAAGGGAAGGGAACGTCTATAGACAATAGTTAGATGAAATGTAAAATATATATTGATTTTTAAGAAATAAAGTGATTGAAAAGGTTCAAAAACCAGGCGTAGTGTCGCAAAGTCGGCATTTATTTTACTTTCAAGCCGGTATTTTCTTATGTCATGTTTGGATTCAGAATATATTCAGTTTTACACAAGATTTCGACGAGTAAACACACACGCACAAAAGTGAACAGATTAAAAAAAAAAAATAATAATAATTTTTATATCTTAGCTGTAAGCGTAAAGTGTCATTTAAGTATTATTATTTAAGCAGAAAGTGTAACTTTTTTTTAACGTTTTGTACAAAAATATTCTTCATATTTGCGTATGTATGTATATAGCTACACTGCTCATTTAGTAAGTAGTTTCCAAAATGTGTTCATTCCAAATCAAAGTATAAAGCGATACAATCTGCAGCACTGTTCAATTCTTGAGGTCTTGCACGAACAATCATGCAAGATCAATGAAACATTTCCGTTGAGGGAAGAGCAAAGCTGCCTGCACATTATCTACATCTTTTAGTTTGTATCCCAATTGGCTATACAGAGAATCAGGACACAGAACGGAGGAATTTCATTCAATTCACAATGCCTTAAGCCAGCTTGTAAGTTTCCAAAAAAAATAATTGCTAGCATTGTAAATGAATATTCTTTGGCCTCCAGCTAGACGAAAACACAAAATCAACTTTTTTATGAACATCTGAAAAAAAAAACAAGAACTCATGCCCACACCCCTTAGCCTTTGAGAAGTGTCTATATTCTGCAGCACTAATATTCAATACTTGTGACCCATCCCCTCGTGTAATATGAGAAATGAATGTCACTGAGCAATGGAGAAGTGAAGAAAGAGACAAATAAAAAGAGGAGAGAGTAATGAATTCAGTTCTCCAGTTCACGACAGGCGCACATAAGTACATTATTTTAAGCTTACATAAATAAAACATAAACACTATTCGAAGTCGCTCAGGAAGTAAGTCTTTATAGAAGCTTCTGCTTTCCTAGTTAGCCAAATCCAGTAAGCAATATTTTCTGCAGCACAATGTAATATACTAATCTGAACCTCATCCTGGAAACCTAATGAAACGACTCGATGAATAAAACAAGCAAGGGTACCCGCAATCAAACACAAAAGAAACCGAGAATACATAGAGAACGAGCCCTCATGTATATGGAAGAACACTGTCTTTGTTCTCCATATTTCAAAATTGATAACCATTTTGACCCTATACCTGGATTGAACCTAAGCTTATATCGGATTGGACTTATCAAGTGCATGTGAGTTCACATATCTACATATATAATTAAAGAGTATTTATAGAGCTTTTTAGGTTCTTTAGCAGCAGCACATCACGGACTATGACTATATACCTGGATTGAAATCTAAAGCAGAACCCCATTGAATAGCGACGAAAGTTAAATGTTGGTTGAAGCTAATGAAGTCTGCAATTTCTGACGCCATAGGCTCTCGAAACGATTGAATAATAGAAAAGAAGACTACTATTATATATTTTTATATTCAAAATTTAAAGTACCTATTTATTTGGATGTGAAAATTTTAAGTAACGAATGTGAGTACTTTATATATTTTGGGAAGAAAATTTTTTTAAAAGTTTATATATTTGGATATGCAAAATAAAAATTATAAAAAATCGAAACTGAATTTATTTCATTATTTTTAAGCCCGATTTTCCATTCAGTCATAAGAGAGAAATGTGCGTGCCAATGACTTTCTGATGTACACAGGATTCTAAGGATTTCCAGAGGTGGTAATTAATATCTAAAGCAAGTTTTAAAATGCATACAATTTCTTAATGCAAAAGGGAAGTACTTTGAACTACGATCTCATGCAAATCTATTTAATAAATTAATAAGCAGAGCGTGTTGAAAAAATCAATTCCTATGCATCTGAGTATAACTTTTTATAGTCGGGGGATATCAGATAGCCAGACATGCCCAAAATTTGTCAGCTGAAGCCTCTAGCTGGGAAAAACTTTGACAGCGTACTCATATCTATTGTTTAATGCTTTAATGGTATTTCCAGCTTGTTTTGTATGATGCCGTTACCGTTGCCTTTCCATGCCTTTATGTATTATATTATGTATTTATTAAGTTATTAAATTACACGCACGCTTGTGTGCGGCACTGCAAGGGGAACATCCATGAGACTGCGAGTGTGTGGGGCATTAAAGCACACACACACACACACACACACACACAAAGCTGGAAAGCTTAAATTTATTTGCATGCAAACAGACAATGTATTGGATGTAGTTGTGAAGTGTACGATGTGTGCACTGCTCGTATAGTTAGTCGTACGTAATGCACACGAGTATAGCGGCGAGTGCCAAATGTTGGAGCACAGCCCCTTGGCGTATGCAACACTTTACGGCTTTTTGCGTTATGCGTGCAACGACAACAAAGAGGACGACGACGACGACGCCGACTACGCACAGTGGTCCCAAATGGCACAATTGTGCCAAGCTTTAAGGCAAAAACAATTTAACTACGAGGATGACAATGTTATCTAATAAATACTGCAACTCCAGAGAGTTTAGTTGGGCTTACAAAGAAATGTGAGTGAGTGTGAAAGTCGCACCTGTAATGTAACTCAGCATTTACTCTTGGTAACATTGTTATATGGTTAATTCTTTATTTATCCACGACACTCATCTTAAATGTAAAATGTAATCAAAGAAAAGATTGTCAGATACACATTTAAGAAAAATGGCTTTTATTTGAAGGCATGGTTGAGGAGCTCTCAAAATTATTTCATATAAGTATAATAGAATATTTCCCAAAAAATGTATTGGTAATTCACAATGTAATGCGATATTCAACAAAAACCGTTGTACCAGTTTCCTTTCATTTGTGTTTGGCAACTGTCTACGACTTGAAATAAACTAAACTACAGTATAATTTTCTTAGCTGCCTCCAATACATTGCACAGGTTTTTGAGGCAGCTAACATAGCTTTATTATAGCCTGTACCCAAAAGTAAAGGGGTATACTAGTTTTGTGCGAATGTATGTAACATACAGAAGGAGGCGTGGCAGACCCCACAAACTATATATATTTTTGATCAGGATGAAAAGGCGAGTCGATATAGCCATGTCCGTCTGTCTGTATGAACGCAGAAAGTATAAGGCCTAGAATATCTAAACTTGGTAACCAGATTCTCTCAAGTCCAAGAAAGTACGAGTTTAAGTTTTTGTTCGTTATTAAATTTAATTTATTAAATTTGTTTAATTTTTTTTTTTAATAGTTTTTCCTTTTTGTGAGAGAGGTATAGGGTATTTAAAAGTTGAGCCCCCTCGAGTCTAGGATTCCTATCCTGTTTTTTAACTAAAATTAATATATATGTGGCGATTTGTATACAATATGTATATGACATCTATGATATTGCTTAGAAATATGATATTGCTTAGAAATAGTGTGTAATTTGTCGTCCAAAACTAAAAGATTTGCATGCTTCTGTACTCTAATTTCAATGAGTGAATAATGCCTTGGTCTAGAGATTGCACTAGAGTAATGTATTTGCGGAAAAATTTAATATTTTCGCAGCCTTCTAGAAACTCAAACTGACGATCGAAACAATAAAAGGTTGTACAAAAATATGTACACATTGCCATTCTATACTGAACATAAAGAGACCATCTTATTGGAAAAAAAATATTTAATAGATGGCGCAACTAACAAAATGCTGTTAACTTGGATCCACCAAACGCAATTAAATGAAAATCCGGAAATCGGGGCAGCTAAGCAAATTATACAATATAAGATATAAGAGAAATCGCGTTATTGTCGCATTCGAATTGAGTTCGGGTCCACTGTGCGCTCGGTTGGGGGAATAAAGTGAAGTTGAGTCTCGTTGCAAGCTTTATCGCAAGTAAACTATCTGTGTCTCAGTGCTGTCTTCTCCGACTACCCAACTATACAGTGGATGGACGGACGTACGACCAGCAACTAAACGAATTTATGTCGTAATGAATGTCAGTTGCTGCATATCTTCGTGTCTATCTGCGGTTTATGCACACTTCAGCACTTCTACCCACATGCCAGTTACCGCCTCATGGTGAGCTGCTGGTTATGTTGTTGCTTTTGGCATTTCGCAGGAATTTAATAGTTATTCAAAACATTTTGCATGCAGCGTGTGAAAGTCGGCAAGGACGAAACAGGCAGACAGACAAACAGACAGATAGACAGACAGACAGGCAGACAGGCAGACTTATGGACGGACAGACAGACTGGCTTTTTAAAATTGTGCGCTATGCTTATCGGCCGAAGTTTTTCAAATCGACCTCTGACTTGGACTCATGCCTCCAATGAGGCAGTCAGGCAGTTTGTGGGGCGCCCGCTACTTGCTACAATATGCTGCTTAAATTACGAGCTGTTGTTCACTTTGTGAGTGCCGCGCTTCACTTGACGGCGCTTTTTGCGCTTTTTGCGCTTGTTTGAAGTCATTCCCGAAACGCCCACCCGCTGCCGCCATTTTTCCTATCCTTTCTTTTGCCGGGCCGCATTTTTTACGAGCTGCTGCCGGTCGTGCCCGCTGTGCGCGAATGCGTGTTAACAGGCAATTAAATCCGAATTACATTTTTGCCCCTTTTTTGTAGCCGGCTTTGTGTGCATGTGTGTGTATGTGCGGGCATGTTAAACGGCAGGTGTGCCATGCGCCGCACAAATTGTTGCCAAACTGTGGCGATAAGGCGCACAAAAGTTCAAGAAGCCAACACAACACCTCAAACGGCCTCCAACCTACCGCGGTAGTCGCACGTGCTAATTAGAGATAATTTTTAATTGCTGCCGCCCAATGAAGATTTATGTGTGCACGGCATTAACTAATCGAATTGCTTGCCATCCAACTGTACAACTATCACAGGGCGGCTTTAATTGAATTGACTCGCCTGCCGCAAAATGTTAACAAATCCACCATCGAAATCAAATAAAAAGTCCACTTTACCTTTTTTCAATTTTCAAATTCCATTAAGTGCGCGACGCGCAAGCATTTGCATGTAAATGTCAAAGGCCATAAGTCGCAACGAATAAAGAGTTAACTCTATTCAATTTGGCCAACTCAAATCAGTGGCATAAAGAATACTTTACCCACACATATCGCAAATAGAAGTACGGGTATAGAGGCATGGTATGTAAATAGTTTTATGCCCACATCAAATGCACGCAGAGAAATCAGCCCTTACGGAGACATAAAATCTTTGTCCATAGCTTATAGAAAATCGACTAATATGTGTCTTTGAAGATAGTATTTCTCAAAAAACTAGACAAGCTAAGCAAATACGAGTATGAGATGGAAATGACCATTGCAGTTGGAACAAATATTCAACCTATTAATAAACATTTCAAATACTTTAGATTAGCGTTTCGCGTAGTCCTAATGAAGGCAGAGTGAGCTTAAAAATTCAAATTAATAAGGTCGCCAGTAAGCTGGCCAACTGCCAAATAAAATTCCCCCAACGTGTCGGAGGCATTAATAAACGTTATTGTACAGCTTTTTCTTAGGCTTTCCCATCTTTTATGTTTGATTTATAATGTTATAGTATATTAAGTCATATCTTCATTTTAATTTTGTTAAAATATATTTTTAGAATTATAATGGAATGTATTGACAGAACTATTGTTGATTTACTAAATAAATAAATGAATAAATAAGAATCTGATATAGAAATAATACGCCATGAAAAGAGAAAAGTGCTTCTGAACGGATTCTAATTTAGAATGGAAACCAAATATAAAAACGGAAAGGTAAGATAATTTAAATCATTCAAGGATCCTGGCATTATATCGACTACAGTTTAAAATTCATAATATAGGACAAAAAGATATTTCATACTTGTATGTCTTTCAAAAGATAATGAAACGGATTAATTTTTGTTGAAACTTTCTGCTGGTTCATACATACCAAGTGAGAAATGTGAAGGACTTTTTATAGTATAATTTGTTTATATATACTTATGTCAACGAACATTGACTGTCGACATAGGAAAAGAATACACGTATATGCAAATTATATAAAAAACTTTATAAGTTGGAAAGCCTACGTGGAACAAAAATAATCAAATTACAATTAAATCGAACGCAATTAAATCTCCGCCCCGCTGCGGGAATATTATTTGCCTTTCGTCTAGCTATACCCCGTCTCACAGCCAAAGTGAAGAAGTATGAAGATGGTGCTTAATTGGAGAGTGAGAAATGGACAGAAAATAATTATTAAACTGTTTGATATACTTACATACAATCGATTATAACATAGTTGTGTCTTGTAATGATTTCATTGCAATAAATTCCCTCAAGTGATAGTGGCATACACAGTTGTGATTGAACAGCTTCCCTCGGCAAATCTATTGCTTTAGTTGTGCTGTTCAGTGTAGAATAATCTGCATAAATATATAAAAAGCGTTTTGGCCAAGGCTAGTAAACGGCAACCCAGCAATATCATTACCGGGCGTAAATGAAGCCATTTCGAGCTTGACACACACATTGACAAAATTTTGGCGGCCTCCAGCGTGTATGTGTATGTCTGTGTGGGTGTATATGCCAATTTGTGTGTGTGTGTGTGAGTGTGTGGGAAGCCCAACTTAATCCTTTTGTGCCCAAACATACGCTTGCTGGGCAAAAGGCTGCACAGACTTCTGGCTGCG